ATATATATATATATATATATATATATATAGGGTTTTTTGCCATCCAGCATTTCACATCCTGCAGGAAATGAAGGGTGGATGCAGTAGATTCAATGGAAATATATTTGCATGTTATCGTTGTAGCAGTGAAAGGAAATTCTTTCTCAGACTCCACAGTTTCTATTAAATAGAAAACGTACCATTTGCATTCAATCTTCCTCAAGGCTGTAACTCACTGTACTCCTGGGTGTTATTGCCTTTGCCTGCACCTGCATCTGGCTCAGAAAGCTGCAGCGAGACTTTTAACGTGTACCAGAAAAAGAGACGGCGTGACACTGGTACAGACTACATTTAACTGTTCCACGATCAGGCGGGGGTGCTGCTCTTCAATCAAATGTTCCCCACTTCAAGATGAAACTCAAGACGTACATTGATTTCAATGGTCTCTGGTGCTGTTAGTCGTCTTAGTATTTTATATTTCTTTTATTTTATAAATTGATCTTAACAAGTTACCCTTCTTTTTACCACGATTTTTATATTGCTCTTTTCATTTTTCAGTTCACTGTTGTCATTTCACTTGCTGTTGTTGTGACTGTAATTTGTACAGCAGCTTTAGGTTGTTTTCAGGTGCTGTGTAAATAAACTTGATCTGAAAGTGATCGCCATTAAAATTTACTGTTGACTAGAAGTAAACTATGATTGTCTCGTTGACAGTGAATGATCCTGAACAGGAGCGACTTCCAGACCAGTGTGTGCGCACACAGAGCACCCAACCACACACACGTGCGGGCAGAATGAATGAAGACGAGTAAATTCACCCAACGTAAAGAGAACCCAATCCCGGTTGACGCTGGGCACAGCGCCCAACGAATTGAGCAGTGAGAAGCCATCCACGACGTGATCGGGAAAAAGAACAGAGAGTCCAGGTAGTTCCTTTGTTCCGCACCCACCATTGGAGAACCGAACGCATGTCCGTAAATTGAAATAACTTAATAAATTAATATGATAACTGTAGGAATGAAACTTGTTTTTCAGGTGCTGTGTAAATTTAAACTTGATCTTGAAAGTGATCAGTAAAATTGTACTGTTGACTAGAGAAATTCCTATGATTGTCTGTTGACAGTGAAGAACTATCACATTATAGCGAGGCACTCTCTAAAACGTTGACTCCTAAGCGATAAGACAATCAATAGTTTACTTCTAGTCAACAAGTAAATTTTACTGATCCACTTTCAGATTCCAATGGGTCTTACCACGATACCCTGGAAAAACAAACCCTAAAATCTGCGTAACATACCAATACATCAATTATACAATAATACTCACGGTGGAACAAAATCGACCGCCGGCAGAAGCGAGACGCAGCACGGCACGACAGCGGGCGGGGGCGGACAACAGAGAGGACAACACACACACGGGCGGAGCTCTATTTGTGAGTGGGGGATGGTGTGAGGAATTTGGTGAAA